TTACGATAAATCTTATGGTATCTGAAAGGGAAGCTAAGTACCCTTTCGCGTCGTCGGTGCCGTCAACGTGCCGCGGACGGCTGTGCTTCGTAACCGCGTTTTCGCGTTATAGTATTATCGCGTTATCGCGTTTTCGCGTTTTCAAAATCCCAATTTCGTTTTTGTCAACGAGTCTCTCCTTCCGACGCCAACTAACTGGGATGTTTCATCGAGTCGTTGCTTTGCGACGTACTCGCGCCTTGTGCAACGTGGCACTTGGTGATGCCGGCCGCGCAGAACGTATGTCCAGTACAAAATGTACATGGGCGCGCGGGTTCGATGCTTCGCGCTCGATCGGCTTAGTGATGAACACGCTCTGCTTCGTCAATTGATTTGGCCCGAATCGGTTAGAACTCGATCGATTGTTCGAACTGGTCGTCAATGGGTCCCTTCTCTTTGCTCGTCTACTCTAGCCACACGCCTAGCGTGTGTTAACCCTGTCGAGGAGTCGAGTGGATTCCCCTAGGCACGATTTTCGCTCGGTAAAAGGGGTTGCCTCCCCATTTTCTAAATTGCTAAATGTTAGCTTTTAAAAAATGTGGGTATCCTCTTCTTTTACCGTCTATCAGCCTTGTGTACTGCGCTAGTGATATAGCATCCGTGCGGGTCACTTGAAATCGTGCTTAGCGGGTCCAGGTTCGATACGAGATAGGATAATTATGCGCGAAAAAGAGCTGGTGAACTTTATTTTCCTCTATTCCGTCAATCGTTTCGTCTTCTTTCCGGTTCGGGCCTAATCTTTGCTCGTTGTATCGTTGCATTCCCGACCTGTTGGCTCGAAATTGATTCTCGCGAAATGAAATGGGATTTTCGCTCGTACCGAAACCGGGAGTGTCGGACAAAGTATATATATATTAAATATATACATCGCGCGACAAAATTTTTAATCGTACCGAATTAGTGCGGGAGTGCCGTTTAGTATCGCGCGTAAAATAACGAAAATAGCGATATAAAAATATCGCTCGTGTGTGCGGGAGTGCCGTTGAAAGTATCGCGCGTCAACAACATGAGAGGAGGAGGAGGCCTGGGAGAGGCATCTTGCATCAGCGGAGCAACCTGATGGTGAATATTTATTATTTGTATATCAATTGTTATAAATCGTACGCATAATAATTCGATCTTATTATTTAAATGAATTAAAGAGAAAATTAGAGAGAAAGATTTTTATAAAAGTTATATAAAACTTTTTAAAAAACTTTCTTAAAACACAGTTTTAAAATTTTATAAAAATTTTCCACACGTGTTTATCTCTGCTTATTATTTTACACATCGGATATAAAATTCCGCGCGATAAAAATTTTTTGAAATATTGATTGCATTTGTGAGCATTAATATAAATGAATTTTATATTTGTATGTTACAGACAACTAGCTTCGATAACAACAACTCCGCTGTTGCGCATCAGTGTCGGTGAGTGAGAAAAACTTTTATTTAACTTTAAGGTAACGGATTCGTAGAGATTGTAGATGTAGATTGTAGATTGTAGATTGTAGATTGTAGATTGTAGATTGTAGATTGTAGATTGTAGATTGTGAATTGTAGAGTAAGTCCGTTGCCTTAAAATGGATGAGCTAGGATAGATTAAATTAAATAACTTTTAATAAATTCTTTCGAAATGCTTTGCATCTATTGCGAAAATATATTGAAGTATTAATTTAAAAAAGAGAATCAAGAAAAGAAATTTTTTTTGTAAAGACTTGACTAGTTTATTAAATCAAGAGCACGCATTAATAATTTTAACAATTTTATCAATTTTTGATAGTACTTTATTCTTATAACGCGCACTTATTTTATTCTAATTTCTTATATCATAGCTCATCCATTGTAGAATTGGTTTGTAGATATTGTTTTTAAATTTTACTTTAACTTAAAATAAAGCCAAACGATTAATTAATTAAATAATTTGTAATATCATAAAAGTTATACACGTACATGAATTTTATATTTTATTAGAAAATATAGTATATAGAAATTTGTAGTAATTTGGCTTTATTTGAGTTAAAATAAAGTTATATTCAAATATTTAAGAAACGATCGTAAAATCGAGCGATCGTTACGATGAGCGTGAAATATTTACGCTCATTTGCCGGTAATTAATCGGCAAAAGAAGGAGTGTTTATCTCCTTTTTCGATCTCTGATTAGAGATCGAGCGAGAAAGTGGCCAGAATCAACGAAAAGTAAGTTCAATTGGCCTGAAGAAAAGCTTTACGTACAATAGTACGTAATGTCGGACATTTATTCACGCGGTTAGGGCATGCGGTTAGAGAATGTAATTAGGGCATGTAATTAAAATATGCGTGATTAGAGATAGGCTTTCCTCGAATAATTTCACTTAATCGAGAAATAGGATTGTTAGGGCTATTAGGTGATCATTAAGATTTTTTAATTTTCCATTCAAAAAGTAGAGGATTGTTAGGGCTATTATGTCATTAATTTAGCTGATTTTATATTATGTATCTTTTAAAGAATCAGGAAATGTAGGTTTAAATAATATTAGGGAAAACAAATTAATAAATATTTCAATAATTATATTATTAATATTAAGAATTTTTTATGGATCAATATTTTTTGAGTGTTTTTTGAGAGAGTTTTTTTTCCCCACTTAAAAAAAAAAGGATTGTTAATTTATTTTGTATTATATTTCAAATTATATAATATTATATTTTACATTAACTTTTTGTATTAAATTCTGTATTGAAAGAAAATGAAAAATTTTGTCTTCTCGATGATATCTCCATCTTAAGGAAGGCATTTGCCGGCTGAGGAGGTTTGAGTATTTTAATGAGCCTGAGAGCTATGCCGGCAGTAACATACACCGATATTCGTATAAACTTTTCTTATATTTAAGATAATTTTAAGTATGATCTTAAATATAAAAGTGAGTTATGAATACCGATCGTAATTATTGATAGAGTCATCTATGCCGGACAAGTCGAAGGGGAAGTGTCAGACTAAGAGAAATACCAAAATTATATAAATATTTGTTATATTAATTATATTAATATTTTTAAAATGAATGAAAAAGGAACAATAATCGAGAAAAAGGCAACTACAGTGATTTGAATATCTATACCTGAGAACAAATGTCCATAGAAAGTATTTCGATGGACTCCATAGGAAGGAATGACATTTGATGATAATTTTTATAATTTTAACACAAAGGAATACAATAAATCATAATAATCCAAGAACTCAAAGAAGAGAATATATTGGATAGAAATGCATAATGATTGAAAATAATTAGAAACTAAAAGACAGTGTACAATCTATTTATTAATAATAATACTATTTTGTAATTATATTAAATTTTATAATTTAGTACATTATATTATATAAAATATTAAGCATAAAAATATTATGCTGGTAAGAAAATTATAATAAAAGTATACAAATAATGTTGACTATATTAGAATAGAACATATGAATTCTTTATATTTTATATAAAGAAAGAGATATTTAAAATATTTTGCAACATCTATATTTTTCGAATCTTAATTATAAAAGCTTCAGAAGAATCAGTGATTACTTTAACAAATTCTATACATGTATTAATAATTACATTTTTAAATAATTAAAAAAAATGATTGATAAATATCAAAGATCATTTTACTGCTAATTAAAAAGATTTATAGAAATACGGTTAAAAAGGTTTTTATTCCACAACAGACATTTTGTTTTTTTGTAAATAAAAATATATAAATATGACATTGAATGTATAGAAAAATATTTATTTTATCTTTGAACATTACATTGGAAGATCACAGTATTTTTCGGGATTGAAGTCAAATTTTAATTTCTTACTTTGTGATACGACATAAATAGATATGAATCAATTAATTAAATATATATTATATTTAAATTTTTCAATGTTAACATATCTTTCGAAAAGAGATAATATATCTGTATTTATGTACACATAGAATATGTATATGTAATTCCAGCGCGTGTATTTCATGTAATGTTTTAAATTAAATATATATATATATATATATATATATATATATACATATATTTCTAAACATAACGCAAATATTTCAGAATAAAGTTGTAGCGTTATACTATATATACATATATATATTATATGTGTGTGTGTTTATTTGTGTATATGTAGAGAAAGAGAGAGAAAGGGAGAGAGAGAGGACCACAAAATTTATTTAAAAAATTAAAATTAAAAATTTATTTATATTTATATACATATGCGTTTTGCTATACAGCACTGATGGCATTTCGTGTACATAGGCATTTCGTGTACTACAGGCATTTTTTACATAGCACGGAACAGAATCAGAAATTGTGCACATATATGTTACTCTCTGAGAACTTTCGTGGACTTTGGCTTTGTAGTTCATGTCCACGTTTTTTAGATTAACAGAGAGAGTATCGCTTTCAGGGATCACCTAAAAGCGGGCCATGACACCTCTCAGTCTTCTCTCTGTTAATAGTTATGTAAATTATGTTTCGATACTAATCGTAATCATAATATTTAAAAAAGAAATTCGATACGAAACGTTTCGCATCGTTATTTTACTACTCGAGTATTGTCGTGCGATTAATAATAAAATCGTAACATATGTAAACAATAGCGCGCTATTGTAACAAAATCTTTACGTTGTCGATAATAAAATAATGATTTGATACGTAAATTGTTATTGAAACAGGTATATATATAAACGATTTATACATTTTCAATAATAAAACAATAGCTGAATGACCTAAAATATTCGTATGATTTAAATAACTCTTTTAGTTATTTAAATGCCACAGTCCATATGAGAAATTCGCACCCTCTTGCGAGGGAAGGGAGAACTATCAGCTGTCATCTTATCATATGGTCATACCAGGTTATGGATCTGTTCTTTTCAGCTGCATTGCTGCACTAGTGCAATTAGTTAGAGTGAAAGAAAGTATGTTTGTCTCTTTCTAACTTATTGCACTAGTGCAGCAGTGCAGCTGAAAAGAACAGATCCTATACCTCTATGCGTACATTTCTATATAAGCATATAAACGAAGTAAATAATAACGAAAGAAATAAAAGATATAAATTTAAGTGTTCTTATATATATTCTAATTACCGTTAGCGTATCTTGTTACGCACATTTGACAATATTGTTATATTATTATCACATATTGTCAGACAATAAAAATGCAATATGTATGAACGAATCGCAAGTAATTGGGCCTTTGGCCAGTATTCTCTGCTTGATTCAACGAATTTTCTGCCTTTTTTCCCAAATTTATGGAATAAACAAGCTATCGGCTCGCGTTATTCAAATGACACGAAGGTACGAGACACTGATGTACTCGTGGGATATCTTATTCTATTCTGGGTGATACTGTATTTTCTCTATGAGAAATGTTTTAATGTGAGTTTTTGACATTTTAATATCATAATATATCTTTGGTTCGAAATATACATATATTTGATATTTATTTGTGTTCAGTCACTATTTAGGCGTATGCGCTTTCCATTGATACAACGAAGCAGGATAATCAAGGCAGCATGGAACTGTGGATTTTGTTTTGGTAGTGTATGTTACATGAAGTCATCAGCTACTCAAATCTTGAATTTTACATCGCAAGACCTGGGAATAACATATCAGGAATTAGGGCTTGCATTGCACAAGAGCTTTTACTTTCATCAAGCGGGAATCGACATATTGTGCTATGGTGCTTGGATGAAGGGCTGTGCAAACTTACTCTTTGCGTCTTTCATCTTGAATCCATATCAGCAAAAGTAAACTTTCAGTTAATCAAATAATCAGTCACCATCTTCTTGAGATATATTCTTTTGATTCTATTTATTATGATCTATTTATTTCTTTATATTTTTATTTTCTTTAGTTTTGTCTCTTCTTACTAATCACTCTAAAGATCTTTTTAACAAGTTTTGAACTTACTTTGATTTTTAATTTAATATTATTTTTTAATTTAATATTATTATATTGAAAATTGACACAATTTTTATTTTAACATTTATATATAGTATTATATATAAAAAATATATATATATTTTTTTTTCTTCACAGTTATAGGTGGTGTACAGTTACAAGTACTTTTTTACTATACAAAACTATTGACATTGTGATAGTTAATGTTTGTCAAATGCTGTTATGCATTTTTCAAACCATTGGACGACCAATTTGCAAGCTGTTATTTTTATTCCACTGCCTAACTTGGTCAGTATATGTTAAGTAATTTTGATATAATATGAATTTACTATATAAAAATAAATCTAATTATATGTCTGTTCATAGGATGTATTTATACTTGTATTATGTGCCTATATATATGCTTTGGTCAGAAGAAGTTGAATATGCAAGGACTGAACCTGGTTTATGGCTTTGGTTTGCAGCAGAGTGCCTAGATTCGGTATCTCATATGTATCTTAAGTATTCATATCTTAGATAACGAAATTAAGAGTTACTACAAATTTAAATATGAACAAATATTTAAAAAAGAAAGCTACATATATGTTAATTTAAACTGTGATTAGGTATGGTTAAGACTTATTGGACATGCAAAAGCTACACATTGGCTCGAAATTTGCCTGTTTCCACCACCGACGCAAGAGGCGATTGAATTAGCAGGTATTCATAAAAGGCATAAAGAATCTTTGAAGAAATTTAGTAACAAAACACATGCAGCAAAGAGAATTGAATTATGGCAAACTCTAGTATGTAAGTACCTTCGTTATTTTTCATTTAAAATCTGAATTAAATTGTTTGAATAATGTGCTATTGTATAAACAGGCGCGATGGCAATTAAAAAAAAAATTAAAAGAATTCGTCAAGCTAAAAATAATGTAGATGTATCAACAGAAGATTCTAAAAATACAGAATTGCAGGAAACAAATATATTAAACGACGAGTTAGAGGAGGATTAGTGAATTTATACAATTCTAAAAAATAACATTTGCGGAATTACAACAACAATTTACAATACGACTTCTTTAAACGAATTTATTTACACTATAAAAGAAAGTAAATATTGTGATGTCGAGAACATCGAATTATACGAATTTTTTTTTAGAATTATATGTAAATTGTTTTATGGCATATAATTTTCAACAATTACTACTTTCTATTAAACATTTATATGTAGTTCTACATTTACATATTATTATAAGTTAATAGTGAAACACAAACACGCAAGTAAATTATATATTCTCATCAATGCAATGAAAAAAAGATCAAGATATTGCACAAGACTATATATTGTAGTTTTTAAAATTAAGTTTTATTCGAGAATTTCATAGATATATATGTGTTTATAGAAAATTCAATCAGTTTATAATTTAATAAGACGTCCCAACAACAAACTAAAGGTAACTAAAAATATAATAGAATTAAGGGCATTTTTTAGAGATATTTGAAAATATTATTATTTATCTCGTAAATTGTTTTGTTGATATAACTCAAAAGACTTATGCTAGTCATATAAATAATACACATGATATATCTGTCATCAAATAGTATTCTTATCCATGACATATATGTTTTTTTTTTGGGATTGTATGTAAATTTTCAAAGTAGCAAAATTATGAAGTACATATATATATGGCTCTATATTGTTAATACGAAATTGTGTTATGTAATTTACGTAATTTATTATTAGTTATACATTGATTAAATTGAAACATTATCTCTAATTTGCAGTAACAGATTGATTTGATCAAATCATAAATTTGATTATGCATAGTAAACTTTGTATCCATTCAAGTTATCGTATCTGTTTATAAATAGGAAGTGTAATGCAAACATATTGCATTACATGCATTTGAACAACAAAACTATGATAACAGTTTCGATGATAATATTAGAAATGTATTTAATTTATATATTCAAGTTTCATGCTTAAAATCGATGAATGAAATGTTGTGCCTGTTATTGCCTTAAAAGTAGAACTCTTTTTTAAGTTAGAAAAAGCACAATCTGTTTAAATTATGTATCACGTATCTCTCTTCTAAACGTAAATAAATAAATTGTCTTTCAGTCCTAAATAATGTAGATATTGTCTTGTTATTTTTAAATTGTTGGAAAATGTATCATGTAAGTAAAGACGATGATAATTATAGATAAGTTTAATATCGATCCCTTATAGACATACTCATAAAATATTTTGTATTGTTTTATATGTGTATATTTATATTCACGAATTTATCCTGCAGTCAGAAATGCAACTTGTGTTAGCTATCATTACACTTATTTCGGTAAAATATAATTATCTTATTATTTTTACATTCTTATTCGGTAAAATATAATCTTACATAAAATATAATCTTATTATTCTTACAGTCTTATATTTTTTACTCTTTGGTTGATGACTCCACTTATATTGTCCATTAAATAAAATAAAAAATAAATATATATTTTAAAAATTTGAATTAAAAAGTATATATTTTTTTTCAAATTTATTTTAGTAATAATAACGAGTCGATTAAACAGTTTGCCATCGTTTGCCATATTATCCATGAATCGTGAAGAATAATCATTAAAACAATGGTGACATTTTTTCTGATTACACTTGCTTCCTTTTCTTTCCTTATAAATAAAATTTTGTACTATAATAGTAACAATTTTGAAAATGATACAAACCTTGGAAGAAACCTTTGTGTATATCGTTGAAGAAAAATATTATATAGATTTATGTTATTTATCGACAAAATTATTATATTTCGATTCCAAAATGATACATCACATTGCAGGGTTAATAAAACTTACAAATTACATTCATCACGTAAATTATCTATCTATAATTAATTTATTTAATCGCGCCGATATACAATCTAAAGTCTTTTTTTTTCATACTAAATTATATCGAAACGTACAAAGTATCAAACACGGCGAACTACTGTCTCATGATCCGATTATATGTGTGTCTCGCTAATAATAAATTATCGATCGCAGTACTTAGTGTTTTCTTTTTCTCTTTTTGGCAAGAATAACGGCAGGCCGCCGTTGTTGACGAAACGAATTGGAATTTAATGCTACTGTAGGAAGACAATAAATCATGGAAACGCTATCAAACAATTCTCGCTATCGTATATATATATTACGTATTCCGTCAAATCCGTTTAATAAATTGCCGACTGTATCGGCCAGTGTATGGTGCTGGAACAAATATAATTACGAAAGTTACTCTTATTACAAACATATACATTATGAGCAATAAAAGTTGAGTCCTCTAAACTTCCCTTCTTTTAGGCCCAACCTGTTCTCTGCGCCGTGTAATCGATGCAGATATATTTAGAATTTCATTTTTTATTTACTTTTCTTTTAATATGAGAGAACACGCACTTTCGTTCTTTGTGAAAATATGGCCCCATTGTTACAGGCTCGATGTAGTGTGTTGGAAAATGTAGTATTCCTTTTTTTATTTTCTGTGTGTTCCTGAGTCTGCAACAGGCTTCGTACAATTTCGTGCCACTTGCATTCTTTATTTCTCGATATCTCTTTTTTTTATTACATTCACAAACATCTTTTGTACGAAAACAATTTAACATTGTAAGGTATATTTTATTACTCGAGTTTTTCGCATTTCCAAAGTAGTCTTTAATGTGTACTAACAAAAAAAATAATGTTAATAAATATTATCGTGTGTACATCGAAAACGTTGCAGAATGCAACTGGCACGAAATAGGTACTGCAAGATCTTTCTGAATTAATTCTACAGTATATACGTGTTTATCCTCCCTTTATCTACTATATATATTCATTTCCTTTATTAAACTTCATTATAATTCCCTAGTCGCGAAACACAGGCCGCATCTGAATCCGATGATGTTAAGATAAATTCTTCTTGTTGCTCAAATTTTATTGTTTATTTTATCATATATATATATATATATATATATATATATATATATATAATATAAATAAAGATACTACTTATTATCCTAAAAATTTGTGGCGATTAACTTGATCAGCAATAATTGCGCAAACATATTTATGAAAGAAAAAAATTGTATATTTTGACGTATATTTAAAAATGAATCTGATTAAGCCGCGCAAAAAATAAATGTTTATTTTATCGACATTAACAACTTGAATTTTTTCCTATTTAATTTGAGAAATAAGAAGATATATATCTTGCGTATACATCAGATTGTGTATTACCTACACATTATGAACTTCTTACACCGTCCATGTGCTACACGGAATCAAACGCGATCAGCGTGCAAATAGTTGAGACATATTTGTTGTCGTGATACTCCTTTCTTTATCACTCTCTATGCGTTTGCGCAAAAAGTTTATTCTCCGCTGTAGCTCGAGAATTCTTACTAAGACGACAAAATCAACGCCTGCAGATATGACTGTAGATCTATTCTTTATATAGGTCCCTATAATTAATTAATTATATCGGCGCAAGAATACCTCGCTTATAGACAGTAATTATTATTATTAAATAATTAAAAAGAATGCAACAAATATCAACGCAATATCCCTAAAATCAATTTCTAAATTCGAAGATTAGAAATCTATTTGAGAAAAATTCTGATTCCTTTAATTCATCTATCTATACAAAAATTCCTAATTAACAAATATTCTGAATTTATAGCGAAGTAGAGAGAGAGAGGAGTATAGAACACATATTGTGCCTTAATAATAAGAATTCTCTGTTCGGCAGCGACGCAACGATATACATTCACGCAAAGGTTTGAAGACTTGGCGAGGCTTCAGTCTCTTTCGGACGTTAATACGTTTCGTTAGTCGTATTTGTCATAATAGATTGTTATGTATGTGTTCGCATATGGCTTTACACGCACGGCATTAACGTAATTAGTAATTATCCCTCAGAGGACGTTCGTGACCATGAGTGGCTTGGCAGTGGTGGAGGCGATCTCGGAGAGTCGTACATCGATGGGGATGCGATCGTCGTACAAGGTTGGCGCCTGTAATATAATCCCAGCCGTGCCGACAACTACGGCTAGCGTAAAGATCCAGAGGAATAGTCTGTCGAGCACCATCGCGACGTATTTCCAGTCCTCCTTGACCTTAACCAAATCATCGATGACAAAATATTAGCTTCAATCAACGCGTTTTCTTAAATTAATCGCGAAGCGACAAATTAAAATATAATATTTCATATATGTATTGTCAGATAATATATAATTGTCAAATAATATATAATTGTAATAATATATAATTGTCAAATAATATATAATTGTAATAATATATAATTGTCAAATAATATATAATTGTAATAATATATAATTGTCAAATAATATATAATAGATAGCATAATAAAAATGTAAAATGTACTTAATCTTCTATAAGAAAAAAAAATATCGAAAGATATCAAAAAAAAATTGATGTAAAAAATTATGAAATATTTTAACATCTTACTTTTTTGTATTTTTTTGAATTTCTGAATATATACTATATATATTTATCGATTACAAACGAAGTATTCTGGGTATATAAATATTAATATAAATTACATATTATTTGCGAATTATGCGAAATTATATAAATTACTCTAGTGGAATTATGCGAAATTATATAATTACTCTAGTGGAATCCTCTTCTCTTTTTGTATGATCGGCGATAAAGCGGATGCCTTCTATGGCCTTGTACAATTCTGGGCAGTGATGCCAGTGGTGAAGCGTGTTGCAGAGAGCGTCGACGCTCTCCTCTGTCGGGAGCTGCGGCGGTGGTGGTGCGGCCGTTGCCGCTGGCGAACCGTGGATACGACATGTACTTCCTAAATTTACTGCTTCCAACTCCCTGAGTAGATAATACATGAGTTGCAAAACAACAGTGAACCATTACCTTGGATTTAAAATAAAAATTGAGAATAAAGAAGTATCCCAAAACATTGATGAAAGATGATATTGCGCAAAAACGAGTTAACAATCATCCATAAATATTTTAAGTATATAAAAATATGTGAGAATATTTTTCATTCCAGAATTAATTTTGATATATTATCTTTTAAATTTTCTGACGTATATTTTAGCGCCTCTCACAGATAGCATTCGTTCATTAGACTATTTTTGAATTCATCGATTTGTAAAAATTATCTTGTAATAAAGAATTTCATATCGTCAATACACATATTTGTATGATTTATCTCTTTAATAATTGTCTATAATAATTGATACACAGATGTATCTTTATTAGAATAAAATGAAAAATTACTACATATTTTTATCTCTTAGATTATGAAAGATGTAATAAAGGCATATCATAAAAACATATAAAACGCAAAATTGTAACAATCAAATGAATGTTATATTTTATTTTCCGTCATATGTAAAATGTATGTATCATTTTGCATCGTTCTTAGAATATTTTCGGACGTACCGAGGATGCAGATCGTCCCGTGAATCGACACTAGGAAAAAGCACAGAGGACTCTACCAACTCCGAGGCCGAAGACTCGACGAACAGTGATGGGTCTCGCAACTCGAGACCATTGCATGTTCTAACCATCACGCGATGTCCATGATGCCCGCCCATGCTACGCTTGTCTATCTGGTACTGCGGCCTAGAGTGGAAAAACAATATCGTTTACCTGACATGTAGATTCAATTCCGTCTTATCAGATCCGACTCCCGAACTATGAAAATAATTGCGTTGAGATTTCAAATATGATTTACAGTCAATGAGGTATCTTTGTATCTACATACATGAGGTATCTTTGTATTTTTTAAATTCTTAATAATTAGATTAGATAAATTATTTCGTATGAGAATGGTTTTCTGTATCCATAGTTCTGAAGTCGATTCATCTATGAACAAATAGAACCTTCGCTCACCCTTATTATACATCCTTATTATAACAGCTATTTAAGCTCAGTGCTTACAGCGATGAATGAGCTATTGATTTGTAAAATTTAGCACGATATTCATGGCTATGCACATGCTCCTAATTTCTAGTTTGACAAAGTTGCAAACGTTTCGAAATGTATCATATATATAATATTAAATCAGAAGAACTAACAATTTCATATCAATATATGACAGCCATGTGACAGTGCCTAATTCGGTGGCAGTATCGATAAAGCATTTTGATTAATATTGCATATAAGATGAGTGTCACACGAGATAACATGTCAAAAATATGTTACATATCATAAAATAAATTTCCTGAGGAAAGATGTGATTATAATACTATCAAAGTTCAATTTTGTTACTTGATCATTAGAGAGAAATTTAACTTATAATTTTATATCATTTCAAATTTTTAATAATATTATTTTAATAATATTATTAATAATATTATTTTTAATAATATTAATAATATTAATAATTTAAATTTTTAATAATATTAATAATATTAATTTAAAAAACAAAGATATATATACAGGATGGCCTCGAACGTTCCAACCAGACTTTGAGATCTTATAGGAAATTTAATTCTGAACAAAAAATTCCTATAAACATGGATCGAAAAATGCTTCCTTAAGAAGTTATCGCTCCAAAACCTCTGAAGGAAGAGCATAAGGTGAAAAGAAAATGAAATAAAAAGAAAATAAAACTAAATAAATTTCTTGAAAAACGTCTTTATTCATTTTCTACTATTACGTGCTATTACTAAAATATTAGTTAAAAAAAATATTATTTTATTTTCATAAAAGAAAAAGATTTTTATTTTTATCGTTTTTTTCAAGAAATTTATTTAGTTTCATTTTCTTTTCATTTCATTTTCTTTTCACCTTTTGCTCTTCCTTCAGAGGTTTTTGATCGATAACTTCTTAAGAAAGCATTTTTCGACCCATGTTTATGGGAAATTTTTTGTTCAGAATTAAATTTCCTATAAGATCTCAAAGTCTACATATATAGAAGAGATTTACATGGCATTTGAATATATAATAATACTAATTTTTGCACCTCACAATAAAATAAATGACATTTATTTTGTCCAGCAAAATTGATATGAAAGGATCTCACTAAAAATCAGGAAATTTTATTTGTATGATAACAGAGCGACGATATGTGGCTAAAGATCGGCATACACAATGCAACGCGATGCACTGTGGTGTTAAATGTTTGCAAGTATAGCGTGACACTAACGTCACGTGCACAGGGGAACACTAATGAAGTGCTTTAATGCCCATTCTGGCGTGATTCCAATGACCAGGCCACAAATGCCGGAAGAATATATCTTGCCTGGAATCGTAATCGGTTCTCTGCGATGGCGTATTATACCTGCGCATTACCAGCAACCTTGGCAGAACATGGATGAATACTCGTCGGACCCACGGCGCCATTACGTGGGTCTGCGGTGAACGGAAGTGAACGTTGAGGACCACCACTGTTACGCATATACTGCAAAAAAAGAAACAATGCAAAAAAAACGTTCCATATATTTTTCTTCCTCTTTCTCCCCTTCTCTCTTGCTCCTTTCTTTCTTTTTATAGCATAAGTTTTATAGCATAAGTTATTTTTTTTTGTAAGACAATAAAATCGTGAATAACGCGATACATCGGCAAAAAAGAGCATTAAATTCTTCTATATATTTTATTTAATTATTTTATTTAATTAATGTTAAAATGGTTGCATTAATTTAACTAATGATATTCGATGTACGTATTTTGATTACAATCACCTCCTATGATCGCAATAACCGTTTATGACCACGTACCTGAAAGTGTCGAGGATCATAGTGAAGAGGACGAATTTACCGAGAAGCGGTACCACGAGCGATGTGGGTGGGATGATTTCAGCCAGCAAGAGGAAGAACACAGTCAGCGACAATAGAATCGAAATGGACAGGCTGACCTGCGAGGGAGAGACAGATTTTCTCGCATCATAATATAATTAAATTATCGATAGAAAATCCTATAAATAAATGTGTTTTTCATGTTAAAAAATATTACATAAAAAATAGATATTAATACAATAATCTACATCTAGATTTTTGTTTGAAATTTATACTCTTTGTCTCTTAAATGCGTAGCAATATCTCGAACACTTATATATAATTATTCTATGTTTCACAATGTTTCATTTATAATAGGAGAATTTAATGGAGCGAGATGCACGCTACATCTTATTGTTAGGAGGGAATGGGGCCGATTATAGAGAGTATTATCTCTCCTTCGCATTGATCTTGCACGCCAAACATACGAGGCACGTTTAAAGTTGCTTTACTCTATCTTCCTCGTATTCCCATTGCGTATTCGCTGATTGTGCCGAACGACCGGCAACCCGATAACCTTTCCTCCCTTTTCCTCTCCTTGTTCAACCCTCCTGCGAAGAGGATTTCTCTATACCTTCCGCTCGACGACAAAATGGAACAATATGTCTGAATTATATAAGCCGTTAAGCGTGAATATATTAATGCTCGAGAGGTCGAGTGTATCTTACAACAATTTAAAGACGCAACATCGACGACGAAAAGGTCGCGATCGCGAATTAAATCGTAATGACGCGAGAGCTACACTATTCCGATTTAATCGAGTCAAATTGTTGCATTTGCAAAATTAATTCCAAGCGACTTTGCCGAAGCAAAGTCTCCGAAGGCGTATAAAGAGAAATGTCACGATAAGATCGATCGCGAATTAAATTGTAATGCGCGAACTATACCGTTCTATTCTGATCTAACCCGATAAAATGCACTTCGATGCAAAATTGATTTTTTTTTAAACATATATCGAGGCTTTTAAGAATATAATATATCGCGGCGAGAAAGTCGAGCGCGGATTAGACTTCATGAGTTTTATTCTGATCTAATTCCGATAAAATTTTCGAGCCTCAATCAATTTCAATTATACTCTTGAATTGAAATATCTGGACATTTTAAAGATGAAATGCTAATAAAAAAGGACCGATTACACTCTTTTTTTCTTCTCGATTTAATCCGAATGTAAAATATTTACGTATCCAGATTTATTTTTTTCTCATGTTCTTAAAATAAATTATTTCATTCCTGTGCCATTTCAAAAATGGAATTTTTCGACAGCAATTTTTCAACATGGAGAAAAAAAATGCAAGCGAAATAAATTATACAAAGTACGTATACACCGCAATGTATTTAAAAAATTGAAGAGGAAAGAGTAAGTTTTAAGAGCAATCTGCGTCGACTGTGAATTAATTACCTTCTCTCCACTGTCGCTTGGCAGATAAAACACCAACACCGTGAGGAATGATATCCCCATGCACGGTATTATGAGATTAACGGTATAGAACAGAGTCTTCCGTCTCATGGTGATGTTGAAAGTGATGTCGAGGTAAGGCTCGTCGCAACACGTGTAAAACTTCTCGTTCCTGCAATTCGCATATTTGCGCGCTTCGCTTTAACGATCGATATTATACATTAATCGCACGTCTCATGCATTTCTCACAACCTTCTCTTCGATCCAGGACCAAAGTCGAGATATTATTAATATTAATGCCAATTATTAATGAAGTTATTATTAAATCTCTAAATTAAAAAATGACACTTGGAACACGATGTAAAAGTCCAATTCTCTACCATTATTTATAATCTGTTAATAGAACGCTGTATATCTGTGTGTATTCGAGAGCCAAATGCAAATAATTTAATTATTAGCTGTATATACGTACCTTACAGCAGGGACTTCTAATATGTCCCATTCAACGGAAGTATAAAACTCCGACAGATCGATGCCGATGTCGACGACATTGCTGCCTCGGATCTCGTCGATGTGTCTAAGATCGACCTTAACAGTAAATTACTAAAATTTACAATGCATTGTTGATATCGCGATGCTTGATGTTCAATCAATCGATACTTAGCGCACGTCCTTTTTCCGCCGATGAAATTTATTTCTCGCAACGAAAATTATGCGTGCATTACTGACGTTAATAAAATATTTCAAGCTAATAAATCAGCAACCAAGCAAATGTAAAGCATTAATAAGTAAGATGAAATGATGTAACATCGCAGAGATACTGCGAGAGCTTTCTTTACATAACATTTAATATTTAGGTCAAACAATTCGTCTGGTGACCCCTTATCGGTTCTATCGCGACGACTCGTTTATACTGCGCAACGGTCGCCATTTATATTCGCAATTGTGAAGTCACACGTGAGTCTCTAACAAGCGACATTTTGCTCGATAAAAAAAAAGATAACAAGCTATACGACTCCTCGCTACGCGACGAGTCTATAACCGACGACTAATATTCTCGTCGTAATGCGCTACAAAAGTCACAATTGTCATTTTCAGAATATTTACGATCGCTTTAACGAGATCTCCGCGAGATCTTTCTATTGCATCAACAAAGCGAGATCTTCGAGTCCCCGAAATTAATTGGATCAATCACCTAGAAAGATGTGCCAGGTAAGAAAAAATATCTCTAAGGAACAAGGAACAAATTGTTTGACATCAGACTTTCAAAAATTATCGCAAATATCTTTTTATGTTAAAAGACTTTCTAAAGATCGAATTGTTGATTTGGATAAAAGAGATATTTTTTCGAAACACCTGGAGGATATCAGATTGTTCTCACCTGGAAGCCGTCGTAAGTCCACGAGCCGAATTTCATTACGCACGTCTGCTCGTCGAAAGGAAAATATTCGACGTCAATCTCGCAGGAAGACTTATAAATCGCCGGCGGTTTCCACTCGACCCTACCCGTATAGTTGAGAGTCGCCTTCGTCGCCAGCGTTACCTCGAAATTACCGTCGGCGCTGTCGAATGTAACACATATGATTTCCTCTCGAATTCACGACTCTGCGCTTAAATATTACGTACGAGAGAGAAGGAAAAACAGCGAGTACAATCGCCCAAAGTTGAGATCGCGTTACTTGTAACGTCGTTACCGTTACTTTTTTTCGGTAGTCCTGAATAGTATCCCCTTACTATTCCCCTTACTATTCAATAATTGAAAAATCTATTCCTATTAAAAAACAGTTGCAAATAGTTTGGAAAATTATATACATGATGTTTTTTTCTCTGTATTCATAAATCTAAAATTTCTAAATTACAATAAATGAAAAATTGAATATGAAAAACATCAATGGAATAATTTATAATTATCGAATATATAAAAGTAATAATTATATTTTAAAATTAATTATAATAAATACTATAAAATAATTATTATATTTTAAAATAAATTAATTTAATTTTTGTATTATAAAAAGTAACGAATCGTTACTTTCTTAGTAACGAGTAACAATAACGCGTTACTTTTTTGAAGTAACGTTCCCAACTCTGCAATCGCCGTTGGAAATGGCCTTACTTGTTGTATAAAACTATATCGGGCCTCCATATATGATCTGACGGCACGTGCAGCATCTCCACCCCACCGTATTCTTTCGGATCCCACGTCAACTTGTAATCATACCATGACTGCGAACAAAGAGTCGATATTATCACATTATTCTTTTATCGTTATCTATTATATTTATTGTCATATTTTTTTCTTATATTGACACATGAATTGGCACTGCACTCATCTATCCTCGCTTTGCTTTGCAGTGAGCAAAGCTTCTTTTATATTATAAAAATAATCTCTCTATTTGTTCTTGACAGAATATCTTTAATTTCGCACTATTTTTATAACTGTGTAAGAAAATATCGAACGTGTAGCCATCAATTGGATTATTGTAGATAAAATCGTCGATAAATCTGATCGAAAATTTTCTTTATTTAAAAGTGCAAACTTAATCTTGCTACGTTGAATAAATATCGCGAAACTACTTTACATCTTTCGCGATTGCGCATAAATGTGTAGGGCAAATGCTTTTCTTTTAAACTCGATGTGATTTATTCAACAGATTTAACTATCCTACTTCATGTATTTAAATGGAAACCGACAAAGGATCATGGTATCGGGAAAATCAAGCTGAAATTACTTTACGAACACTAGACCGTGACACCGAGGCAATATTTTGCAACTTTCCTCATTGAGAGTTAAGGCTGAAACGCGGAGATTTGCATACGGTGCACCAAACTTCTTCTTCTCTCTTGCCCGTCCAGTTCGGCCGATTAAAAATTGCACCCTTGCGCGCTTTATTAAAAAATTTCTACATCGTTGATCTATTCAACTTTGTAAATGATTAAAAGCTTGTTTAATTGCGATAAGATTAAAGAATGCATAAGATGAACATTTAATATTATGCAGCGACTCTCTCTCATTGCTATGTATTGTGGAAATTTAGGAGCAAAGATTTTCGTTCATGATATTAATATTTATAAAGAAGTTCTGAAGATGTATGGGAATTTAAATTTTCACGGATTTTCGCACACAAAGTCAATGTCTTTCTCAATGGAAACAACGAAAAAAGTAATCACAGTATTTAAAATTATTTATATCTTTATGTAATTATGCTTTGAATTAACATCTCATTAAAGTCGACTTGAAGAACGCTGCAATTCTTTATTTTCATTTTCTTAAATATTTTTAAAACTATATTTAAAATTGACAACAGTTTCAAAGCTTTATATCTTCGATCGATAATTGTCATCAATTCTTCTCGACGTTAATGTTGAGAAAAAATTTCTCTAAAAAATGAAATGAATAATCCGTAATAAGTGCACATCACCTGTTTATCTCGAATACCTCGTGAAGTTTTGATACGAGTACATTGTGCGCATGCAAAGACACAATTGCTTTTATTACTGGCACCTTTCCATTTAACGGAATGTCCGCCGATATTGGAGTCGCACTGGAAATGCGATTTCCTTGGGGCGTAGACATAGTATTATGCGTGCGGCATGTTGAATATTAACCCGGAGCCGAAGTCTCCGTTTACAGTGTGTATATTTGCCGGATAGAATATTACTTATGCTGTTGCACAGAGCCGGATATGACGTGCGCGCGAAATTTGGTCGTATGTTTGAACCGAAGGTAACGCTTAGTTAAATAGCGAGTGCTACTCCACTCCGCGAAGTAACTAATTAAATATTCATTGCAAAATATGGTACACGACGGAATTTTCGTGATCTTCGATATTTGCAGCTCCGACTTGCCATAAAGTCAAGGATCAAATTTAACCGCGAGTGATTCTAGTGTTTGTAACGTATTTTATATCAATCTCAGATTCTTCGGGCGTGGCAAATTTTTTCGTGGCAATTGTAATCGCAATATTAATTTTAATACAAACGCAAATTATGACAGATACAACATTTGTCCTGTTAAACTTGTCACGTGGATCGATGTTATTACGATTCCACCATAAAGGACATATAACAATGTTTGTAAAGTTACGTTTAAAAGTATTAATGTTAGTTTTATACAATTCATTACAAACGTAACGCAAATTATAACAGATGCAACATGACATTTGTCCTGTTAAACTTGTCATGTGAATCGATGTTATTACGATTCCACCCCAAAGGGCATGTAACAACAATGTTTGTAAAGTTACGTTTACAGGTATTAATATTAGTTTTATACAATTCATTGCAAACATAACGCAAATTATGACAGATGCAATATGACATTTGTCCTGCTAAACTTGTCACGTAGATTGATGTTATTACGATTCCACTACAAAGGGCATGTAACAACCAATGATTGTAAAGTTACGTTTAAAGGTATTAATATTAATTTTATACAATTCATTACAAACGTAATGCAAATTATGACAGATGCAACATGACATTTGTCCTGCTAAACTTGTCACGTGAATCGATGTTATTACGATTCCATCATCTAACAACAATGATTGTAAAGTTATGTTTAAAGATATCAGTCGTTCTACAAAATCGGCGGACATGTTATTCGCAATGCGGACATTTTCGGCTAAGTTGCGCCAGCACGAACCGGTTAATCGCGTCGATAAATCGCGGCTAAATTAACATTTTCGTGCACAAACTTCGCGATAACATTAATGCGTGACGAATCGTAGGAGATACCCTGAACTTTCTCTTCTCGCCTAGTAACAACACGGGTGTAACTTGTTCGAATCTCCGAAATGTATGCATGAACATCAACGATGTACTTAGGTTTACCACGTAACCCTAATATTTGGTGTGCTTTTGCGCGCCGATGAGGTTTCGTTGGTTTGGACAACATGTATAATGAACTAATAATAGAAGTCACCGGTTACAGGATCGTGAAAATTTCCATAATAATTTGTAAAGTTTAACTTTGATTCGGATCAAAATCAGTTATCTCATCAGTTTCATCGATGTAATCAAACTGCGCAACTGAAAATATGTATTATTTTTTTCTGTTTTAATTTGGATTTATTTCTTTCAATGATTACTCTACAAAAACTCGATGAGGCAAATACGAGCGGTCGAGAACGCGAAATGAAGTCAGGATAAATCGAAATTTGTAATAAAATTGATACATTTCAATTTCAACATGAACTTCAATTTATTATATTCAAACTTTACTTTTATTATCAATCCTGTTATTCATCCTATTTTATTTTTTTGATTGTTTTTCAATTATAGACTAATTAAAAAGTCTCAATATATCTGACACGTATCTGACAAGAAAAATATGAAAAAGAAAATTTAGAACAAACATATTAGAAAAGTTATGTAAAGTATGACATACAAACGAAATTAAAATAATACGATAATCTTAAATGAAATAATCCCAATGTACTAAAATTCTAAGATACAAATTCGAAATAATACGATAATCTTAAATGAAATAATCCCAATGTACTAAAATTCTAAAATACAAATTCATTTCGTGGTTTTTTTCTGAAAAATATGACAATCAGATATTTATATATTTTTTGTCTAGGTCTCTTCTCTGAGTTCATAACAGGAAGTTGAAATTTATCACGATGCCTTGTAATCGCATTACGAGGTACATATCCTATCCTTTAATGACCCGATTCTCCGTCGCGAGTCATGTATTTATTACACGAATCTATTTTACTCGATATATATCTCAGGAAAAACGGTCGAGCACACATGGCGAATCTATCTATCTTACGTAATCCAGCATTTGAAAGTGGGTTGCACAGTTCACCGGAGTTATTTTCTAGTTTCGGGCGGAAGCCTCTGTCCAATCTTCGTTTCTGCTTCCATATGCGTATGAAAATTCGCGCGCGTTAAAACGTGTCATCGGCAGGGACCGTTACGGATATTTATTTTCCACCTGGATGACGCGATTGGCCACATCGATAGAATTTTCAACGGTCTTCGAAGTTATTCGGAATACATAATAGAAAACTGCTACATTATTTCGAAAATTATTTATACGATTATTTTTGAGGTGGGAAATAAAAAAAAATATATTGAAAAGCATCAATAGCATTTTCAGTAATTGCTATTTTTCACGACATAAATTTTATATTATTTAAGATTTTTATGTATATTTAACAATATCTTATAATCTTTGATTTTTATTTCTCGTATTTCTTATTACTTGATTGCAAAGTATATATTACCTGTTCGACCCAGAGGTTCGTCGTCATGATTTGATTCTTCAAATTCTGTAAGAGAATAATTTTGTAAAAATACATTGCTGCTTCTCTGAAAATATATCATAACATCTCGTTATAAACCGATGTATCTCATGCTTATTCAAAATAATTGAAAAATATATGTATGCGCGTCTCAACAACATCTGTTACATTATAATAAATGTAATATAATGATATTAATCATTACACAATAATGATGTCAATCATTATAAAATACAAAATATGCAGCTAAAATATCATTTTTACCTTCAAGCAATAATATTTTGAAACATATGATATTTCATATATTAATAATGTATAAATATCTACATATATTTTATATTTAAAATTTCCTCTCGAAACCTTTGTACCTGTTTTTCTCTGTATTTTTATAACAACATTGCTGGAAAATATTATTGCTTACCACATCGATGAGCTGCGAAAGCTTGAGCTTTATTTTAACGGTGAGGGCATCTGTGACGTTGACCACTGGACGAACCAGCTTGTTGTAATTCGACAAAAGGTCGTCGTATAATCGCTTCGCGTCTGGATTTCCTGAGCATCCTGAAGATACAAAAAACAGATATGTCTTGATTATCATGCTTAAAAAGATCTCTTTACACTGAAATAAATTAATTTTAAGAAAACATTGAATTTCAACTATAATATCAAAATTATACGCTGAAAAAAACGTTGAATCAACATCATGTAATTAGAATTTATTTGATTAATTTAATAACATTATTAATCAAATCAATAGGTCAGATATTGATTTGATTAATAATGCTATTGAATTAATAAAATAAATTCCAATTACATGATGTTATTGATTCAACATTATTTTTTTCTCAGTGTGTGTATAAAAATATCACAGGAACACACATATGTATTACTGTATAAATGATTATGGTAATTCAAAAACATTTTATTTTTATTTCATGCATACAATTAATTTTTAAGTGCATTTCTAGATATATTTATAAAAAAAAATTTATTGTGTATATATTTGTTATTATATTTTTTAATTGTCATCTCAAAGTTTTTTTGATTCAACATTATTTTTTTCTCAGTGTGTTTATAAAAATATCACAGCAACACACATAAATATTACTGTATAAATGATTATGGTAATTCAAAAATATTTTATTTTTATTTCATGCACATAATTAATTTTTAAGTGCATTTCTAGATATATTTATAGAAAAAAATCGATTATGTATATATTTGTCATTATATTTTTTAATTGTCATCTCAAAGTTTCTTTGATTCAACATTATTTTTTTCTCAGTGTGTGTATAAAAATATCACAGTAACACACATATATATTACTGTATAAATGATTATGTGGTAATTCAAAAACATTTTATTTTTATTTTATGCATACAATTAATTTTTAAGTGCATTTCTAGATATATTTATAGAAAAAAATCTATTGTGTATATATTTATTATTATATTTTTTAATTGTCATCTCAAAGATTCTTTTTTTTGTTAGTACGATAGCGCAAAGTTTAGGGCTAATATCGCGACGGACAGTTGATTGCCGATAAACGAAGCGAAAACACGGCTTCGAAGGGACGCGGGGAGAGGAAAAGCGGAAAATATTTTATACCCGAGGGCAGATATCAAAGGAAGAGAGACAGCCGTGGATAAACCATCCACGTAACAGGACAGCTCGGTAATTCCGCTTCGTAGTTTTCCCATTATCCGCGCCCATGTGAGCGTGCCTTGTGGATTCCGCTTTGCGCATATTTAACCCTTTGCCGTACGGCAGTACATAAAGTATTGCCGTCATTATAAACACCAATACACTGACCAAGAGCTACCAAGTGGATATACGGGCTACCGCCCGAACTGTTCTCCATTCATTTGCAATTTCAAGGTAAAATATTAAGCTTCTGGATTTGCGCACAAATAATTCGCATTAATCTTAAGAGTATACGATAAAAGATGCTTTTTAACAAGCGTATTTTACTTTCGCTTAACGTTTAATTTCTCATTTTCTTGCTTATTTATCGTTTTCCTCGCTTCAAAAGGAATCAGAAATAACTGAATATTTCAAAATTCAATATATAGATGTTCACCTTCAATCTTTATTCAACGATTACATCGGAAATTGGATTAAAATTGATTGAAATAAAAACGCACATCTCGCAAAAATATAGTTTAATTTTCTTCGTGTTTTCGTGTCATTTTATATTATTTATTTATATATAAAATTATTCATCAAGGTGCATGCAATGAATCTATATATCGGCTCTGAGGGAGTTTCACTCTTTAACGACGAATCGATGTCGATTATGGAAGCGATAAAAACATTCATTCGTTTGATGAGGCGCGGATGTGTCGATATATTGTCATTATGTATTGTCGTTGATAGAGTCGATCCGATAGGTTCTATTCGCCATTATATTATTTATTACCGTCGCGTGTCATTTTATCATCATTTTACGAGCTCTCCCTCGCAACGCGTGCACGATGCAACATCGCCGGTGATTTTAATTTTGAAACCGAGCCAGAGTGCGCCGAGGGTTCTTCCGGTTCATACATCGGACCGCAGCCGAGAAACTGGGTTCAAGACAAGCTGGGAAATTTATAACCCCGTGAAACGAAGAGTTTGAAGTCGCGCATTAGAATGTCGATAGTGATATTCCGAAGGTTTTCTGAGAATATTCCGAGTTTATTCCGTTTTTAATACAAATGAAATACAGATAAAAATCCGTAAAATAAAAATAATTTTCGCTAATATTAACGATACATTAAAACAGATCGATTTGATAGTATTAAATTTTTGTGACAAATCTTTGTTAACGATAGAAAAAAATTATAAATTTAATAAATTTTTTAATTTATAAATTGAAAATTATTGATTTTCATACACTTTTGATTAAATACATTTCAACATTTCAATGCACGTATGTTTTATTTTGAGTATTTTATATTGAAATATAATTATTATTTTGAGTATTTTATATTAAAATATATTTTATATTAAAGTATATTAACTATTCTAATCGCAGGGATTTTTAATCGCAGATATGCTTCAAAAATTAAGTATAAATAAACTGTCGACAATTTGTAAAGCTACATAATTAATAAATAATATTTTTATTTAAGCAATAAATTAATTAAAATTACGCAACATACATTGTTGAAGAAAAATTTACTTAAAGGTCTATTTTTATAATCGGCTCATTTGCTGCGTTCAAATGCGCACATTTTCCCCGATAAAAACGAAGATGTTATGGTCGTTTGGCAAATACATTTTACAGAACAATTTCGCTCAGAAATGCGATCGTAAATAATACGAACTACCATAGTCGCTATGCACCATACTCATGAACCGATAGTGTTACGCATTTCGTAGACCACAGAGGCACACGTATGATAATACGAACGCATGTAACGTCGTTCATGCGTGGATTACAGCGACTATCGCGCAAATACACTCAGGAAGGCTCGCTTTATGCCTCAAATAACGGATTTCCATGTCTTCATGTATATCCACATCATTATTTACATGTGCACGCGAGAGTAATATTTGTTCATGTCTATATATATGCGTTTCAAATGGTATATGTATTTCTCCCACAAAATAAAGAGAATAATTTTTAATAAAAGATATTTTTGTTTATTACAAAAATAAGGGAAAAAAATGGAATTGATGTAAATAAATTGTAAACTATGTAATATTCGGTATCCATTTATAATGGATATATTATATTTATTTATTATTCCATTTGTTATGAATGTGCTATATTCATTTGTTAAAAATTTTTTCAGACAAATGTATATATTTGAAAAAGTGCATTCTCTATGTTTTAACAAATAATATTTCCTAATAAAAGCAAAAATTTTAAAAAAACCAGATATTGGTTTTTCTCTTTTTTTTTTTTGAAAATTGATGTTGGCTAATTAGTTATTTGAAGTCTAAATTGATGTTTAGAAATTGTGGAATTTAAATTAAAGCGATTTATTCATTACATTGAAAATAATTAAAAGTAGATCTATGTCATATAATTCATAATTTAAAAAATAATTGATGCAGTGATTATATGTTATATTAAAGAAGAAGTCTTTCCGCTACACAATTAATTGTATATTAGTGGATTAAGATCAAAGACATGCGATTTTTAGATTGATTATACGTACCTGATATGAGCACCAACACTATCCACATGATCCCCACCAGGCTCTTCATCATGTCATTGTGTCACGTCCACCTCATTTCTTCTCGCCTTCGTGCGCTCCAGACCCCTCAGTTTTTGTACTGCAATAAAAAAAGGAGATGATTGACCGATCGTATAGAAACGCAGATGTCTTTCGGTCGTTTCATTCTAGTTTATAATTTTCATATCATATTATATATCTATCTTGTAAAAAAACGTGTTATTGTTCTAAAATACATGAGCATATTTAAAATATACACAGATATCTTTATACATACATTTATGTTTGTAAAATATTTCTCTTTATCTCTCGAGACAAATTATTGTTACATCGCTACAAAAATTGCGAGTCCACAGTTTCGATTAACAGAAGCATTGAAATGTAACGAATCTAATTATTCGTGGCCGCGAAATGGGGTTTGTTATTTATTGCAATATCGCAACGCCGGTCAGAAATAATGAATGTGTAAAACATATGCAAAGAGCATGAATGACGTTGATTCGGGAATGAACAGATAATTATAGACCATCGTAAAAAGTTATTGTCGCGTGCAATGTATTCAATGTAAATTAAACACGCAATAAACTACGGTATTCGCTCACAATATGATCAAAACTATGCAATCTATCAAAAAATGCGATGACAGTTTTGCAACAGAATATTCGAATATTCTACTAATGTAAGACTCGAGATGTTATGATTGCAATCGATTTTCTGAGTCAAATACTTTTTAGATAATTTACACATCGAATTCTAGGATGTTAAATAATAATGTTGGATTCATTTTTTTGCATCTATCTCCAATTGATTGTCAAAATAAAATTTTTAATAGAGATCGATCGGTATTTGAATCTTTAATCATTATCGGACTACATTTTCTCGAAACTATGCTCTGCCACGATTGCAACAACGCTACATAATTTTCAGTGTTTGCTCTTTGTGCGAAATAGATATTTGATTCATGGTTTTTATGAGCGGGCCTGAGTTTTACGTGCCGTTATCGGTGCCAATTTTCGCGCCAGAAAATTTATGATAGTCGTAAGAATCGCATTACGCGATGTCGAACTCCTTCTGCATTTTGATATTTTTGCAGGTGATACGCAAACGGCTGGTGCCAATTATTACTGCAATTCTGATATTTCTATATTTTAATAAATTTTTCCTCACAAATATTCTAATCTCTCGATAAATGCAAAGTCATCAATATCATCTATAAGTTTTTTAAACATTTTTCCTTGTTTTTATTTTCAAATTACTTTATTTTTATTTTTATTATTTATTTTATTTTTAAATTACTTTTTTGAAAGCATTTTATATACATCTCAATACAATATTAAATATGTACATATAATATACGTATAACGTAATTTTATAAAATCCTTTTCGAACATTAAGCTCAATCTTTTGTACACTGCATGTAATCAGTCTCGCTAGAGTAAGAATTTAATATCATTATAGAATTAATTTTTCAGTTGATAATTTTTGTCTCTACTTGGGGAAAAGATCATGGCAAAATGTCACACTGAATCAGTACAAAAGAACAATGGCGATACAAGTGTCGCCGGCCTGTCGCGCACATGACATGAAAAACCAGCTGATTTGTTGCCCGGTCCTACTTTGCAGGACTTTTTTCGTTTATTCGCTTATATAACACGCGCGTTGTAGTAATGGCGCTATATACATGCGTATTCCAAGAGAATCTGGCTGAAGAAAAACCAATTCGCACTTTAAATTGCAAAAAAGTTGTGCGTGGACAGTGTTGTTTACTGACGAAAAGAGAAGGTCTTTTCTCCTTTTTCCATTTATTTTTTCTTTTATTTATTTATTTATTTTTACCTTCCATTTCCCGTTTATTCTTACCAGTGCATCCATACATATTCTTCCTGTTTTTCCTCTTTACTCTATTATATTCTGTTCCACTTGTTATGTTGCGATATCGTTTTGTCACTCGCGAATGGTTGCATGAGTATTTCGTGACCTGTTTGTTGTGAATGGAAAACGAAATCGATCAAAGAAGAAGAAGAAACGGTGCAAAGATTACAGAAACAATTTTCGAGTACATTTCAATATTTTGTATTATATTTGGAACGTAATAGGAGCGATTCTGTTTTCATATAATTATACATACATATTTATAAATATTATTATATTATTATTTATATATATTAAAATATTTATATATATTAAAATATTATTATTTATATATATTATTATATTCTACAATTTATTTCATTATTAAATATTTTTAATAATCTCCGGACAAAATATTAAAATCATATGTTTCTATCAAGATTCACTTAAAAACAGAATAATGTTCACGACAGTCATTTGAGAATCGATAACTTAAAAAAGTGACTTGATTATTACCGTTAATCATTTTGCTAAACCTATTTTCTTGCGGATCAAACGATATATATCCGTAGGAGGGCGAGAGAAGCGTGGAAAGGAGGGTTTTGGAAATCAGAAAATCCATACGTTTGGCAATCGCGTTCGCAAATCGCGGGGAAACGGGCTTTTCTGGCACGAGATAGATGATGGCCGGGTGTACGGCGGCCGTGTGAGTGGCAGGCACTTATTATTATCGGTTATCCGGTCTCGCGAGTGCCAATATTCTGTTATGCGCAACCCCAAGTGTCAGTCTAACGCGGCCGGACTGGTTGGCCGGCAACATCTCGCCACCCGGTCGCCTCTTGTCCGTTCCGCATCCATTATTCGCACAACAGTCGACTAGCCAACCGATCGGGGCTGCATTTTTCCACCTCCGAAAACTCGATATCGTTCGGTGATACGTAGTAAAACGTGTACAATAAAGCTGCATATTATATGCAAGCTATTTTTGAGATTTAGAGAAACTCGCAGCATACTTTATTCGTGAATTTTTTCGCTGATTCTTCCCGCCGATATTTTTTTTTAGCGAAAATATCGAAGAGAAAAATTATTTATATTATCTGTTATCAATTTTTAAAGTTGATATTTTTCTATTATATATGATTTTTAACTAACCCTCTAATTTAAAATTTGTCGAAGGAATATCGATCACTTAAAATTATGAAAAACTTTACTTTTAAAGATTATCTTTTTAAAGAGATTTTTGTTGTAAATTGTCTATTATTGATTGTTAGATTTTGACGTTGAGGCAGGAAAATTCCAAAAATTAATTAAAAAATCCACGTGTAAAAAGTGGATCAACAGAACTGTAACAACAATATCCATGCAGGTTTTACAATAGTTAACAGAAACTTCGGCGCGATGTACGACGAAATGAAAACTCGACTGGATATTAATCGAACTCGATCTACGTGTAAAATCTGAAAAGCTTTCAATGAAAACAATCCAACAGTCGGATCTTCATCAACGATCGTATATTGCATGGCATGGTCGGCGAATGCACCAACGTTTGTTTTATTTAAATTATTCTCTTTTCGTGCAGATAGCTTCATTTATTGACCACAGTCATATTTGATGTTAAAAATTCAAAACATAAAATATATTACAAAATTTTCATCGAAAAATAATTCCTTTGAAATTTTATAAAAATACTACCTTGCACATCGTAATTCAATTTTTCGAGACAATCTATCAAAAAAATACAGTTGATCGGCGAGAGATATTGCAAAATATATATTTCTTTAAATTAAAATTCGCAATACATAAGACAAACGAAAAGGTTATCGAACAGGCATGCGATATAGGTTCGATTAATACGTAAAATTCAACTGCGAGCACGTATTCGGATTACTGTCGCGTTTCGTTCCAAAAACCGTTTAGGAAACTTCGCGTTCTCTTCGTTCCCATCCGAAAGTTATTTCTGCAACGTGGCCTGAGATCGATAAACCCCGAATCCGTCCGTCGCTCTATCCATGCTTGGCACTTTCACGAGCTTAAGAAGTGGATAATTATCTCTACTTCATACGAGCAAGAAACTCTTTAAACAGCTTTTCCAGGATCTGCTTTCTTTCGTCGCCGCTGCATGTCATCAACAAAAACTAGCTAGTAAATAAGCTCGTTAACGTATACTGATAATAAGTGAATAAAATGCAACATAGAATGTATATTTTAATTAAAATATTAAATTAGAAATATATATGTCAAAATATCTCAAAATAAGTTTCTTGTTTAATACTTGAATATTTTTTAAACTATTTTATTAAATATCAAAAAATTTTACACATAAAATTAAATTTAACATATAATTGGAGATATCAGTTTTTTCCACTTTAAACGAACAAAAATAATATTTTTTTCATAAGCATACCGTAATTATTGAATTACATGTTATTTTAATTCTATTTATCGGATCCTCGTGATTTTAACAAAAAAAACTTATTGTTTTTCAATTCATCGTCAATTCTCTTACTTGACAATACTTGATAAATTTATTTAAGATTATATAAATAACGCTTATATACATATATTGCGCGCCAATATGATTTTTTATTCATAAATCTTATTAATATTTCATCAAGCAAATATCTTCAATCTCCACAATTAACTTTCGTGGATTAACAGTATCTTAGGAATCATTCACTGACGCAACTTTATTGTATCCAATTATATTAATAAAAAAGTTTTAATTAAATTAATTATTTTATAACAGCTATTAAATCGCGTAACCTACTTCAAAGTAGGTATAAGTGCTGCAAATTATAATAGAATGTGCTTCTTAAGGTTTACATCAAATTTACTTGTAAATGTTTGAGAAAGTTGTAATCAAGTTTCTCCTAAATAAATGATCATAAAATATTTGTCAATAGATTACATATATCCGTTATATACGATCTCGTTTTTCACATAATAATTTTATGCATATGATTATATATTAATTTAACAAAAGATATATATTATTAATATGCGTTATTAAAATATTATGATAAACATAAATGTTTAAATAAATATAATATATATATATTTCGATCTCTGTGGCTTAGAATTCAATCAATCAAATATAATCAAATATACCTCGATAAATATTATTCTCGATATTCCCGAGAATCCCCCGAATATTCTCGTGTTAATTAATCTGAATATTATCTAAGTGATAGTGCATAGTTGTACTCGATTTTCCTGTATAAAAATCACGCTCGCGGGAGTTATCGAACA